CCTCCTCCACTGCTTCCTCTGCTTCGCCTTGCCCCTCACATCTCCTTCTTCCTTGCTTCCCACAACCAGAAAACCCATAAAAATTGAACCCAGAAAACCTAGAAAAGAGAAAGGAGGAAAGAGACGATGGTGCAAATAAAATGGCAGAGAAAGAGGAGAGGGGAGGGATGCAATGGGCTGACAAAAATATGAGAGAGGAAGATGAAATGAGGGGAGAGATGCAGTGGGCGGACAAAAATATTAGAGAGGAAGATGAAATGGTAGAGAAAGAGGAGAGGGGAGGGACGCGATCGGCGGACAAAAAAATGAAAGAGGAAGATGATTCTAGAAAGGAAGATGAAATGGCAAAGAAAGAGGAGAGGAGAGGGATGCAGTGGGCAGACAAAAAAAAAATGAGAGAAGAAAATGATTCTAGAAAGGAAAATGATAATTTAATAATAAAATATTAGTATATATAGATTAAATTAATGATAAAATATTGTAAATATAAATTCAATAATATAATATATGAGTTTTGTTTTTTAGTCCAACATGATACCAAACGCTTCACTAAATCAGTCCAACTTAGTCTATTCTAAATCAATCCAACTTAGTCCTGAAGCTAGTCTATTCCGAGATAGTCCGGCGCAACAAACGCATTGGTTTGATGCATAAATGAAACCAGCTTGAGCTGAGCCTTTATCTTTAATGATTGACGTGTGTGGTTTCAATTTAAATCTATCCAAACCGGCTTAAATCCAAATCGAACCAAAATGTTTCGAAATTAAACCGAACCACAACGTCATGCATCTTACACTTACTCCCAGTTTATTTACAAAAATAGAGGACGGCTTTTTTTTGGAGTATTTCTTAAACTTCAAAAAGCTTTCATCGAATCTGTCGCCTAATTAAACTAGAGATACTTAATGATAGGGTTGTTTTCTAAACCACGTGTTAAAACATTATAAAAACCAGAAAATAGCAGCTGATTTAGAAAACCAGCACCACAAATCTGGAAGCTACATAAACATGGATTTCCAATTCAGTCACAGTTTTCAACAATCCCACTCAGAGTTCTTCCCCTTTTCCCTATATATATATACATACACGTTGACATGCTTTTCTCAGCAACAAAAAAGAAAAAAAATCCTACTCCCTTTATTTGTTGAGTGATCAATCTTCCCACCTTACAAAAACAATCATATCTTTATATCTTCCTTTCTTTTTGCTCTGCGATTTCGATAAAATTAGGAAAAGAAGAAGAAGAGGGAGAGACAGACAGAGAGAGAAAGATGGGAGGTGAAAGGCGGGCGTGCAAGTTTGAGATGGCGTTGAAGTCCATGCAGCGCAAGATGGATGTTTCGGCTGCGGCAGATCACTCATCAGCTGCCCCCAATGAGGCCAAAACCGGTTGGCGCAATATTATTGCTGCTAGGTCTGCGAGTCCGCCAAATACGATGTCCCTTGAGGATAAGAGAAGAAGAGAGAAAGTTGAAAATCTTATTCACTTAGTCTGCTGGGGACCCAATTAAAAATTAGATTATCCTTGTATCATTTTCTTTTAAGATGATGAGGGGTCAGATATTTGCAGCAAATTCCTTTAAAATTTTTGTTGTGATAGAAATGGTGGCTAGGCCTATAACTTGCAAACAGTTTGTGGAAGAGATGATATGTATAAATGTAAACAAGAACTATTATACAATTTCTGGTTTATTTTTTACTTGATGTATATAAGTCACGAGGCCTCCCGTTTATGAAGGACTCTCACTTGGTGTTATTATTATTATTATTTTAGCACACGATATTATTTCCATTAAGGAGGTAGAGGAGTGGGTTAAACCTCATAATGAGTTAGTAATAATGTGGTTCAAATTCATTTTGGGTGAGCATTGAATATAATATCTCTTACTTACCAATGAAAAGGAATATCACTAGACCGTAGTACTAAATGGCCAATGGGTGATATTATTCACCTACAATATAACACTATGTATTTTTCTTTACTTAAATTATACACATAAAATGATATACGTAATAAGTATTCTTGATACATAAACACAAAAATATCTCCTTTTCATGAACTTCTAGTAGTAAGACTTGTATGTATTTTAACCTTATTCAATTTGCTCATTGAACTATTGAAGAGAAGAATCCCCTTGCACAATTAGTGTCCCTTCTTCAGTTCTAACTAGGAGATCTTATATCCTTATAAGATTAAATTATGTGTCCCTTCTTCAGTTCTAACTAGAAGATCTTATACCCTAATAAGATTAAATTACGTGCATAATTTTTCTTTGTTGTAATCACATAATATTTATCTTCTCGTCATGGAAAGGGTGCTTCCTTTTTCTTGTTGTGGTACCATGGAGATTGAGCCCATGATTTGGGATTTTAGATCTATGATTTATTTATTAAATTATTTTCTTACAAACAATATTTAGCACTAATTTACAAAAAGAGAAGGTGTTTGAACTCAAATTGCAAGTTTGCAAAGGACTAAAGAGGAAGGCCCAAAGGCAACCCACCATTTTCGAGATCCGTGGTTTAGAACTTGAAGTTTAGGTTTGGGTTTATTAATCTAAGCTACATTAACAAAACTCTATTTGTTAACCAAACGAGGGTAAAAGGACAATTGTATCTTCTACCACAAAACAAAATCATGGGCAGCACTCAAACTAAAGTTTACAATTGTTTTCCAAAATCTTACCTAAGGGTGATCCTAACATCCTCTAATTTTTAAAAATACAGTATAAAAAAAAAAAACTCCTCTCTCTAATTCACATTCCTTTTTTCTCCCTTTCTCCTTCCCATTTTAAAATAAAAATAAAAATTATTTTCACACACAAATGTGGGGCATATGCTAGTAGGTATTGAATGGTTCTATGTACATCCAAGTTCCTGGACACCCGGAATAATTTAATAAAGTTCTAAAAACACCCTTCTTTTACTTTTTATAAATTTATTTTTCTATGGACCCATCCTAAAACTATAGAAGGCCCTTGCTATTTATAAGAGTAAACGTAAAAAAGAATACCATTAAATCTTAGTATTGACGTTAAAGTTTGGTACGAGTTTAAGGTCGGAGTTTATGCTTTTGGGCTCATCCAGTTTGCTTAAGATCCAAGGCCTGAAGATTGTTGGATTTGGGTCATGAGGCTCTAGAAATGAAGCGTCATTATTCACCTAATCAATTCCTAACCACCACGCTAAATACCCTGCACATCAACAATCTTGGGAATATTTTTGCTCACCACCATTTAGTATAGTGTATACTCACCACTTTATTTATCACAGTTAGATGAGTTTGAAATTTGAGATCCGTGTAGTGGATAGACACAAATCTTAAAATTCAAACTCATCTAATGATGATAAATAGAATGATGAGTATACATCAAATAAATGGTGGTGAGTAAAAATACACTCGACAACCTTAGCCAACTAATATTGTAAATGCAATTAACAAATCCACACCTAATTTCCCCCATTTTCATACCATCATTAAGTAACCATACCCACCTCAACCCAATTAATTAATAATTCCCATCGCCTTTTCGCTTACGTTAATTAATTCCTTCACGTTGATAAGACGCAACAGGTTTGCCCGTAACCGTGGGAACTTGTATTAGCATTTAGATTCGAACAAAGTTTCATGTTTGGCTACTTGAAGAGAGATCAAATTTTAAATCAATTTAGGATCGATTTACAGAATTTTATGTTTACAGTCAAAACTATTAGTATTTTAAATTATTATGTAAAGATTATCTATGTAAAACTATCATTAAATATAGCAAATAGATAGATGATTCCTAATACTTTTACCGACTTCATTTGTATGTTTTTATACACCAAGCAATCTCATATTTCATTAATTTTTTACGAAGATTTATAAAATCAATTATTCCAATCATAAACATGAAATTTTGAAAAATGACTCTTGTTTTATGAATTACTCCTTGTGGTTTGAGCAGCTTCTTTTGTTAATCACAAAATTTTACTATTTATTTATTTTTATTAACGTTTGTTTTCTTTTGTGAGTACTTAGCGTTTGTTTTCTTTACAAGGTTTCTTCTAAGAAATCTCTACAAATGTTTTGTGAATTGCAACAATTATTAATTCACTTTGCTTGCTAGTACTAATAAATAAAATTCCCAAAAAGTTAGATATCTCTGCCTTTTTCTAATACATTCAATATGACGTAGGGGAGTAGGCTAAACATAATCAAGATAATTTGATTCGAATTTATCCTTGGCGAGAAAGACGAAATCGAATCAAATACCTCTTATTTACTGATGAAGACTAGAGAAGAGTATCACTAGACCAGACTACAAAGTTGCTTAATATCACTCTTTAAAATCAAATGAAATAAAAATTTCTTATTGCTTGGAGCTTTGAGGTGATTCGTTACCCACCTATAGAACGTAATTAGTCGTACTAATATGAGAATTTAAGAAGTACTTAATATGACTCTAATAAATCTCACACCTAATTATATTTCCTATAACTTATTATTTTAATATGTTGCTTAGGTAGGCATCAACGGTACAAAACATGCAAATTTCTTAGATCCTAGTTTAACCTTAAAATAACTTAAATCCAATGTATAAGGGAGAGGAATATTTACCACACCTGAGAAATTGATGCCCAAGAAATAACCTAAACGCCAATTAACGGATGCGTCCCATTCAGCGACAGAAACGACATCATTTACCCAAACCCCACGCACCAACTCCCTCTCTCTCTCTGTCGTCGTCACAACGGAACGATTTATCGTTTTAAGCACGGCAGTTGCAAGGCCCCCAAAATATCATCGCGGTCAGATAAATAGACACGTGGTGGGTTCAGAGGCCAATACGACACGTAGCTTAATTATTGACCCCTGGAATCGCTAATAAAACAACTACACGTGGCGGATTCAGGCGAATTAACTGGAATGCGTGGCAGCATATCATTTCCTCCCATCCGATTTATGTCACACCCTGGCAGACTTCCACTCTAAAATCGCAGGTGCACTGAGACTGTCAGAGAGAAAGAGAGGAGCTCCCGGCGATTCTACAGAGAGAGATTTCTAACCGACAGACGAAAGCAATCGACTTCAGTCACCGGCTGTCTAATTGGATGCCACGTATCGGATTCCGGTGAAGAAAGCATGGCCATCGTCGACAGCTTCCAACACCACCGGCACAAGTCGGCCTCGGACGCGAAGCTCTTCACCCTCTGCCCGTTCTGGCAGTCGGGAGGCCAAACATCGTCCTCTTCTTCCTCTTCCACGCAGAAACTCCACGGCTACGGATTCAAATCCAACCCCAAAACGGTGTCCTCCGTCGCGAGATCGCTTCTTCCTCCTCGCCGTCGACTCCGGCTTGACCCCGCCAACAAACTCTACTTCCCTTGTATGTCGTCGTTTCTCATTTGAACGCCCTCGCTGACTTTTGCCTGGTCAATTGGGGATGAAGTTTTGACTTTTCGCTTACTCTACCTGCATTAGTTATAAAGTGCTTTTAGGAAAAGCACTTATTACTGTAGCTGACGAATTATGTACTTGTGGGTTTAATTTTGTAGATGAACCTGGGAAGCAGGTGAAAAGTGCGATCCGATTGAAGAACAATAGCAGGTCACATGTAGCTTTTAAGGTGTTTTCTTATTCCTCTGTGACATCAACCTGAAAAGTTATGTTGTTATAATTACTTGTATTTTAAGCAAGAATTTAGAATGCATTTATTTATTTCTTATGTGGGTTATGATGCATTTATTTACATGCGTTACTTGAATTTATTTTGTTGTTCATTTTTCCATGTGATTTTTATCAATTTTTGTATGTAGCTTCATTGACCCGTTGAATTGTTTTGCTTTGGCTCCTTTAGTTTCAAACTACTGCCCCGAAAAGCTGTTATATGTGTCCTCCCGGAGGTATACTTGCTCCGGGAGAAAGCCTAATTGCGACCGGTAATGGCCTTGCACTTGCTCTGTTGCTACAAATAACAAATGTTTATGTTTTGGATGCTCCACTGGTGGATAATTTACTTATTTTTAACTTTACATTTAATCATTGTTTTTATTTTTTTTATTGACTATGGATTTGGTGATGGATAGTGTTTAGGTTTGTGGAGCGACCCGAGAAAAATGAGAAACAATTGGATCGGAAGACCAAGGTTAAGTTCAAGATTATGAGCCTCAAGGTGAACGCAGGAATCGAATATGCGCCTGAGCTGGTAATATAGTTCTCTTTCGCCGACTTACTGCTCATCGTCATAGCACGTTTTGTATTATGCTAGTTTCCAGTTGTTCATATTATGCTTTGCTACCTTTATTCAGCTTTTGTGGAATTTGATTTTGCAGCTTGCTTACATTTGTGTTTTTTGGTTGGAAATTATTATCGTCAGTTTTAGTGTTTTGTTGCTTTTAAGATCATACAGTTGATGATGTCTGTCGGGGTCATCTAATAGAATTGGATCATACAATTGATGACCTTAGTTTTTGTTTAACTGACCTGTTCTTTTCATCCAGTTTGATGAACAAAAGGATCAAGTGACTGTTGAGCGAATTTTGCGGGTTGTATTTTTGAATGCAGAGCACCCTAGTCCTGTAAGTTACTGTGACTCATTTAATGGGATTTGTGTTTCCATCTCTTAGAGAATACCTTCTCTCCAGCATTTGACATTGTGGATTATAGGCTCTGGAAAAAGTGAACAGACAGTTGGCTGAAGCTGAGGCTGCACTTGAAGTGCGTAAGAAGCCTCCTGCGGACTCAGACCCTCCTCGGGATGTTGGGGAAGGCCTTGTCATAGATGAATGGGTATGAATTTTACCAATAACATCTGATCCGTAGTACAATGGGCTAAACGTTAGTCTTATGTGCTTATGCATAACTTTTTTTTTGTTTTTTTGGCTTTTCAGAAGGAGCGAAGGGAGAAATACTTGGCCCGGCAACAGGTTGAAGCAGTGGATTCGGTGTAAAAACTGTGATTACCTTTTTCTGTAAGTGCTTTTGGATTGGAAGGGAGGTTCTCATATTGTAATGTTGTATTCTTTTTGCTCATCGGTTTTCGGATAAATGGAGGTTATCATAGTGTGAGGAAGTAGGTATTGAGAACTACTATGGAAAGTAGTTGGCTCCGGGTTGAGCTGCCCTTTTGTAGATACTGGGTTTTGTTTTAGGATGAAAATAAGTGAACAACTCTATAGCAATCAGTGTGCTTGTACTTGTGTATTTTCAATGTTGAGTTGAGGTACTCTAGTGTTCTTGGAAATTTGAATTCTCGTTCTTTGACAAGGTGATATTTTAAACTATCATAATCTACGTGGACGAGGATTCAAACTTCGGTGCTAGAAGGTGGGTATAATGCCATGGCCAACGGACCTATTGACCCACTTCTCATATGTACAGTAAGAAATTTTATGGGTTTGAATGTACAGCATGTAAATTGTCCATCATCATCTTTCAAACTGGTAAGTTGTGACACAAAGAATTAAATTCGAAAATCCGAAAAGAATGTTTATAATCGTGAATGCAGATTTCTCTCCCATCTTCTAAATATCAAATCGCAGAAACAAGAAAGGAAAAACACAAACTGAAAGAAGAAAAAAGAAATCAGTAACCCTACTCTGAACACATCCTGTACATAATTGTCCTCCAATCCCGCCCTGCCGGCCATCCAGCCGGCAGAAACACATGTAACCGTATCAATTGTCCGGCAGCTGAAAGTTCTGCAAACCAAAAATTTGATGGGAAGGGTTCTGAACGAAGAGGGCCATGCCACATTTGGCTGGATTGAAACCTTCCCACAAGGAGAAGTTGATGGTTCCAGAAATGGTCTTCTTTGCAGCAATGTCTTTGACAGTGCAGAGCTTTTCAAGTCGTCGGACGACAAAGTCGTTGGACAGGACACGTCCTTGGTTCTCTCCCTTGGGGCAGTCGGTGATCAGCCCGTTCTCGTACAGCGCCACCATCACATTGACACCGTAGTTGTCCACCTTTGACCTCAATGACCCTGTTAGGGATACTTGCAGGGAGTCCGGCGATGGCCTTTGGAATGTTGCCTGTTCATCCATAACAAAACCAATTTGCTAGTAATTATCCTTCACTATTTGGTAACTATTCTTAATTTTCATATATGCAATTGAACACCAAAAAGTGAACTCGAGGAAGTAGATTTCAATTTTCAGTAGTTTTCATATATATATATATATATATATATATATATATATATTTTTTTTTTTTTTTTAAATTAGAAACTACAAACAAAGTTCAAGTTTCTGAAAAGTGAAAAAAAAAAAAAATGAAATGATGATCGAACATAGCCTTGATTTTGTGAACGGTATTAGCCAAGTGTGACTAGTCACAAGCGATGAATTTAATCTAATAACCAAAACCCTTGTGATGGCAACATTTTAATGTCCAAATCTTAGTTTAGACTTACGAATAATTACGTGACCTCTTGTTTAAATACATAGATTAGATTCAAATCTAATAACGTAATGTTTCAGACATGATATAATATGTATCATAAAATAATTCAGATTCAAAGTTTAACAACATAACATCTTATATCAATATAGGCTTTTAAAAGACATAGTTACTTAATCTACCTTAGTCTTTAGCTTTCTACAAAAGTTAAGACACTTCGAAAGTTATCATCCACCATTTGAGAAGTGACAAAATTGACATTGCATTTTAGGTGTACCAGAAAGTTGATGGGGGTGTACATGTCAGGTAATAATTCCTCCAAATTATTTCCACTTTGGTACGAGATAAGCATAGCAGTCATGCTTGAAGGTTAAAATATGATTAAATAAAGATAAAGGTATTGATAGGCCTTTGATTGTATCAAGTTTTAATTAAGACTAATACAACGAATCTAGATTAAGTAATTAGGGTGACAATCATAGAATGAATGTAAGCACTTGCAAATATAATTGTAATAAAAAGCGTGTTACGCGTTGACTTGACAACATTTATCATTGCATCCCACGTTAAGAGTTTAATTTTTCCTTTCTTCTTCAAACTCTGCATCTCAAATTCAAATCCTCTCTCTTCTAATCGTCTAAATTAGTATAAAATACAGCTTATTTTTAAATATACAAAAATATATTTATTAGCGTTTCAAAAATTTCATTATACCTCTTTACGCTGCAAAATAAAAATTTTAAAATGCAAATAAGAATTTTAAAAAACAATAACGAGAGCAGATGAGAAATGCGAACCTGGAATGCGGGTGCAGGATATCTAGGTGCATCCTTGATCGACGTTAGCAAGGCACTCTCATCATTGCCAACACATTGGGCCCTACCTTGAAGGACAATCTGGGGGGTGAACATGGTGTCCAGACCCAAGGCCTCGACATAGGCCTTCTGCCGTACAGTCCACTGGCTTGACCCATATGGGTCCTTCCAGCCCATGTAGTCCCAGTAGTCCACGTGGAACGCCAGCACCACCACAGGAGGCAGATCCGTCCCATCAAAATCCCCTCTCCCAAGCCTCGACACCAGCAGCTCTGCCACCGGCGAGGTGCTGCAGCCCTGCGACGAGAACAGCTCCACCAGCACCGGCCCGCTCCGCTGCTGCTCCTCAGCGGAGACATGCGCTGTTGCCCCCGCAGCATGCTTTTCATGGGACGTGCGGGATCCTCCTTTTGATCCAAAGCAAGCGAGGAGACCACGCGCCATAATATTATTTACGTCGTGTCTCGTCGCCTAACTGGTGTTGGTGGTGGCGGCGGCGGTGCGGCAGCGACAACGCAGATCAATAAATCAGCTCAAAAAGAGAGAGAAGACAAAAAAAATAGTAAATGTAGGTTTTTGATGTGGGAATATAAAGAGAGATTGGAAGGGAGGAGAGTCGGTGGATGGTCGGGAGGGAAAGGTGGCCAAGAATATTCTATAAATTTGTTGCTGGTTAATTAGGGGCGGTGTTGAATGCAACGGTGCCGTTTTAGGCAAGAGTATGTGGTTGACACGTAGGTTGTCAGGGTTGGGTTGCATGTCGTTTGTGAAACAAATAATAAAAAGAGCAATTCCACCAGCCACATATGCGGTGGAAAAGCTGTCGTTTTAGCGTGAGGGTTTGATGGAAGTCGCAGACAACCTTCTGGCTACGTTTTTTGTCACCTTTTTAATTGGTTTTTACAGAAGACGTGATCTAGGACAGCTGGTGTTTTCTAAAGTTTATTACAACAAAATGAAAAGAAAAATAATGGTGGGTGACCAAAGCAGTTGAAAAAACAACCGATTTTTTATGGACACAGGATTGGACGGCAGACCAAAAGCATCACCGAAGCTTCTGGCTGACCCGCACTGTGTGAAAATGGATGTGATATTGTTGTTATGTTTTCCGCGGCGGAGTCCAGAGTTTTCAGCGGCGAAATCAATGCACTTTTTAGTTGTCTACGTAAAATTATATAATAGTAAATTTAAAAGTAGTAATTGAAAGTAATAAATTTATAACTTTGCATAAATCAAGTTTTAATTAGATTTAACAAAAAAAAAAATATTCAAAGTTGCAACTTGCAGTAGAAATAAAACATGTATCTTTAATTTTGTTCATAACAACTTACACCTAAAAGGAAGAAATACCTAATTGAAATTTCAAAGTATGAATTCTCATAATTCAAACAACATACAAATAAACTCGATCAAGGATAAGCATAAAATGGTCAAGAACTTACTAATTGATGAGAAAAATCAATAGACTTTGGAAGAGTAAAAAGAGATGTCTGACTTTGTCTCTCTATGTCTTTGTAGACGATGGCATTCTGGAAAAATGTGTGGCTTTTTGTTCTAGAATTCTAGCCTTAAGGAAGCTAAAAGTTTTGGATTGATAGAAATTTGAATTTACAGCTGAAAAATTGCTAAGAGATTAAAATTTTAAATTATATTATGTAGATAATATGATGTGATGATTGATCATTAAACCCTTCTTTATATCACATTATATACTTCACAAAATATAATTTAAATTTTTTATCTCCCTCACGTTACGTCGCGATTGTTTGAAAATTGAAATTGACATTTGACAACTGCATGTTAATTGTCAATGGCAAAACTCAAAAAGTCACCCTCCAGGCGATAGCCTCCAAAACTTTCATATCAAATCAATAATATAAATATGCTCATTTCCACATAAAAGATTCTCTTCAGATTTCTACTAAGTTTATTAAACCTAGTGATTTGAATTTTTAAAATTTAATTCAACGGTTAAAATTATTATAATTTTTAAAGAAAATCTTTATTTTTAGCCATTAGATTAAATTTCAAAGATCAAATCACTGAATTTGATGAATTTGATGAAAGAGATCCGGAGAAAATCTCTTCTCTTATTTCTAGCATCGGAAATGCGTGTGATATAAAATAATCAATGTGTTGAAAGTTTTTGAATATTCCAAAAAACCGTGAGGGGTATGAATGTTGTAATTTAATACTACTAAATTTCAGTATTAGTTGCAGTTATCAATTTATTTAGTATTTATTAACTCTTATTTTTGCTAAAAGTAGTTCATAAAATGGCTCAAATAATTAGTCTTTATAAGCTTGAGGACGCCCGAGTTGGACACGCAGTTAAAAAAATTAAGAGAAATAATTGGAAGTATAAGATGGAGATGCAGGGGTATGCAAAGCAAGTGCTCTACGATCTGAGCTACATCCCAAATTTCAATGGAATTCTGATTCATTATTTGTTACATTAAAATTTCTGAAATTAAAGCAAACTTCGACGGGATTAGACCTTAAGAAATACATAATATTTCAACTCTTATGATAATTCGGACTACGGAATGGATAGGTGGACCAAATAAAATTGAGCAAAGGCCTAATCCAAAAACTTCTGTGATTCAAAATGGTTCAAGACTTAAAGCAGGGCCTCTTTTGAAGATGAAAGGCCTAGCTAGTCTTCATTTTCTGCCATTGTTAGCTTAACATTAACATATATAGAAAACTCAAATTTATTTACGGTTAAAGAAAACAAGAATTCAACGTTTAAAAATAAATGAAGTTTGGTATGACCTTATATTATGTGGTATCACTTCTAAAACTCTTTGACCTGCCACGTTCATGCTCTACCAATTGGTTTAGACAAGTGGGTTTTCCCCAGCCAAAAGGAGAGAATCAAATGAGTGGGACGGACGTTCAATAATTTAGGTCCAAGTTCTGCTGTCATTGCTTCTATTTATTCCGTCTCAAACGCAAATAATCTCTCCATGAATTTTGGAAATCTGTAAAACTGATGATTGGTGACAAGGGATAAGTGCACGAGATTATTCTTCAAGATTCTGGGTTCATCGTGTGATATGACTTATAAGAGTATGAAAAACGAAAAGCTTACAAAAACAGTTGGATTTTGAACTTTCTCATCTTTTTGTGTACTGACAAGAAAAATATAGTTTGGAAATTAATTAGCCTGCACTTGGCAATGCACCATCCATCTGCAACCACTTGATTTTCCCAGCTTCTTCAAATCTCTCGAATGCTTGAATACTGTCCCCTCATGCATTTCACATCGTTCCAAACCATGGCCGTAACTAGACAAAACATAACCATGCAATCATATATAGTAGATGGACACATGGCAGAAACCCAATGATCAAGCCATAGAGGACAAGCTACCTCTCCCAAAACTGATTGGAACCGGAAACTGATTGCAATTTTTCCTACCACCTACACTTCGTGAGAGATGCTGCCATGTGATCAGATCATGTGGCAAGAGATAAAAAGAGAAAAATATTATCCGATTACACTCAAGACTTTTCCCTCGACTTAATATTGACTCATCGGATTCAAAAGACGAGTGGCGGTTACTAATTTGGCACATTGCACAGCAAATGATGGTGGCCACAAAGAAAGAATATCCACATACACGTGGCTGAGTGAGTAGCACCAACTATATATCCCTTGGTTCCGAGCTCGATATAAGCTGCACCACCACCACCTTATATATCCACAACTAAATCCAAAAATGATCAAATTTGCTTCACTACTCTTTTCCAACAAAGTTTTTTCTTGTAAATTTCTTCTCCATTTTGTTAATAACCATGCTGGAGGGCAAAGCAGTCATCGTTGAGACTGACATGCTTCAAACCATGCAGCAGAAGGCACTTGACTTAGCTTCCAAAGCCCTTGATTCCTTTGATATCACTGAAGCCACTGAGATAGGCCGCTTCATTAAAATGGTACTCACTTAGGAGGAGTTAGGACCGCTTGATAACAATGTTTATTTCATTTTTTAGATTTTGGATTTTAGGTTTTAGTTTTTATTTTTCAAAAAAATTGAAAACTGAAAACAATATCAAGCCATTATTTGAAAACTTAGAAAATGAGCTTTCAGTTTTCAAAAGAAGGGATTTGGTGCTCATATTACATGATTATCAAAAGTGAAAACAAAAAACGAAATGATTACCAAAAGGCCACTTATTAGGTGCTCATATTACATTTGTTTTCACTTCAAATTTATTTGACGAGTGCTAGCTTGCTTAATTATCAACAATTATAACAATCTATACGAATTATTGACAATTTTATTAAATTTATAAATTTTTTGTTTCTGCAGGAGTTTGACAGGACATATGGACCTGGATGGCAGTGCATTGTAGGAACAGATTTTGGTTCCTTTGTTACACATTGCCAAGGTTGTTTCATCTATTTTTGCATGGGCACCCTTGCAGTTTTGCTGTTCAGGGGAGCTGCAGGTCCAGAAGCTGAGGCAAAGCAGCCGTGTGCAGCGGCCTTGGAGCCAGTACAAGCATGAAGTTCTTATTTCTTCATCACTTTGTGCTTTTTGTCTACCCTGTCTTTGTAGTAGTGTAGGCTAGGTATTAAGACTGAAGGAGAAATTCTGAGGTTTGAATTTAAGATTCACCCATTCAGCTAGCAGTTTATATATATTTTCATCATGTTTAAAAAATGACTTTTATGTGTGTTTAATGGTCCTCCTCTCTTCCCCTGTAGGCATCTTGGTTGCTAGTAAGTGTTGTTGATAATTGCAAGTGTACGATATTGTTCAAGTAATATAGTGATGAGTAGAGTGTCATTCAAAAAAGCATCAAATTAACCTAAATTTACTATTAAAATTGACTTCAAACTAAACTTAAATAAAAGAAGGATTACGTTGATAAATTCAAATATGCAAAGAAACGAAAAGAAAGTAAAAATAACAATTGATCGAACATGAAGTAAAAGTGAATGAATTACAAAAGATTAATATATGGAAGCACTAGGACATTAGGTTCCTCGTTCTCAATCCCATCTAATCCGGTTATTCATATTAACATCAAATTATTCCCATGTTGCTAACAATTATCCCTTGATTCGTCAATATTTCATATCAGAATATACTAACCGTGTTTCTAACTATCTACCCATGCTATATCTAGCTACATATATAGATAATTGAAACCCTTTACGCTAAATGGATAATTACACAATACTACTCAAATCATAACCAGTATGTCTACTCAATTATGTAATTCATAGTAATTGTTATTAGAAGCAATCTACTAAACCCAACCTGCCAGTCATAATTTAGTTCTTCACACAAATAATGGCCAGTTATTTGATAATGACAAAGCACAATACCATTACTCAACATGGAAAATAACTGAGATTAATATAAAAAAACGAGAATTATATGTTTATGATCCTCTCCAAATTGCTTGCGGCGCTGGGTTCTTTTCCTTTATATGTGCCTTTTGGAATCTCAAAAACCCAA